TTTTTTTATAGGCCTAGGATTGGGGGAGAAATGGCCAGGTGGGAAATTTTGACAAGGAACTTGAACTTTTTTTCCATCTGGGCTTGCATTAAGCAGTGGTGATAAAGAAGTCAAGAAGTTTTCACTCCCAAATACCTGCTTCTGCTTGGAGCAACTGCTCCTTCCATATGCCTATGTTTGGCTGGTGCCTGAACCTTACAATCAACAATGGAACTTTGAAAAGCCTTGGGGCTAGGGGTGCTTGTGCAGTTGAAAATTCAGTTAAACCTGATAGTCAGCCTTCTGTTCTGCACCTGTAATTTCAACCAAACAACATCTGGGACAGAATAATGGATAGAAAATTCTATGTATAAATGGACTCCTACAGTTAAAAGATGTGTTGATCAACATTCAGCTGTATGTTGATCAACACATCCCTATTATCTCATATCATTACTTTCCTTCAAACCCTTTATTTCCATCTCTATTTTTCCACAAAAAATACGAGCACCAGGACTGCAAGAACATATTGCATGTCTCTATAGTTAAGTCTTACATAGTACCTTGATTGCATGTGTTCAGTTGGGTATGTTTTGAAAACTAGTTTCTGGCAAATGACACATGTTGAAAAATTATCATTAAGAGTATAGTCTCTGAACAAGAAAGTCTTAATTGGAACAGTCCTTTTTTTTTTCCCTTGGCAAGATATGTGTACTTTCACAATTTACATAAACTTAGAGGTGTTGGTTGAATTATAAAGGAAATATTAAAGTATACTTTATTAAGATTTGCATTTATGTATTTACACTGAGGTATTTTATTATCAGTAAACCATTAGAAATATATTAGTGTTTCGGAGTGAATATGAAAGATAAAAGCTGTTCAAGGTGCTGGCCTTGCATTCTCTTACACAGAAGAGAAAAATGCCATCAGACAGAGTTATTCAGTGATCATTACAGATCAACATAACCATAGCTCTAAGAAGTGGTAGAAGTGAATTTCGAAATCATAAAAATAACCAAATTTTTCTGGACTAGAAAATGACTGAACTTCTTATGCATTAGCGTTAGCTACACTATATTGTTTTTATCTTTTAGAAAATGATAGAATTAAATTTACTTCTTCACAACATCCAATACAGCCAGAAGCCTCTTGTTTCCTTAAATAGTTGTCAAATCACCCAGCAAAGGCCCAAGTTCTTTAAGTCTTTTTGAGCATCTTCTTTCTGATATATCCATAGTCATTTAGGATTTGAAAGAATTTTTTTTTGTAATTCACAATATCATTCTTGTTGACTGCTAGTTTGATTCTGGTGGGTTTTGGCAAGATGGTACTGACAAATTAATGAGGAATTATAGCTAAAAAGGAGTAAAAAATAAAATTTAGACAAGAAAAATCACCTGAACATAATATATGTTATGTAACACACACACGCACTCACACGTTATGTAACATATATATATATATATATATATATATATATATATATATACACACACACACACACACAAAAACACAGAGTAATATTGAGTGAGGATGTATAATCATTAATGTGACAATTATAAATACATAGTTACAATGGGATTTTAAAATCTATGTGCTTAGGAAATAAGGAGTACAATATTTGTTAATATACACATTCTTTGAAAGCAGCTAATGAAACAATTAAAAGAAACAACCACAGAATACTTTGTCAGACAAAAATGCATTTTTAAATCATGATAAAAAATAATTGAAAATGCTTTGAGGAATCATACAGCTGTGTACTATGGGAAACATCCATAATATGCCTGATATAAAGGTACTATTCTCACATAGAAGGTCTGGGTCAGACTAGTTACTGCAAATTACAATAGAGCAACAAACTCCAATGTAGCTCTTTTAGATGGCTTTATTGTAGCTATCACAGTGGAATCAGAAACACATGATCACTAGTAGTATTATAAGAACAAAATGCTTACTACAAAAGCTACCTCTTATAAATGTGATCTAGAGAAAACAGAAGTTAAATCCTCATAGATTACACCAAATCATGGAAGCTCAAATTAGTTTCCTGGTGGAAGCATGGAAGCTTGCAGGAAAATCCAGATCATGTTGAATCTTTCGTGTAGAATTTGTGAAGGTATATATAGAAATTGACACCTCTGAGAGAAATGATGTGTGATTTTGAGTATACTCTTGATTGGCAGGGCAAGGAATCAGCAAAATAGGCTGGAAGCAGGTATCCAAAATCTGTGCATCTGTCTGTAACTGTATGGTGGCTTCAAACCTTGATTGATTATATTTCTATTCCTGCCTTCCAAATCTCCACTGGAGTCATAAAATAAGTAGACTATAGAAAATGTCACATTACCCAGCCAACAAAATAAATTCAGGAGACTTTTCTCCATTCTGTATTTTATTGTCCAATGGCAGGTTTATCTCAGTACAATGTACCCATATCATAGCCAGAAGGAATGACAAAGAATAAGGAGCAAAAGGTGGAAATAATTTACATGAGATAAACTTTGATAAACTTTGTCTATTTACAAATTTATGCCATCTTAATTATTAGTTAGGAAAATGGAGTAAGAGTCTTCTGGCTAGAAAAAAAAGTAAATTTTCTCTAAGGAAAAAAGAATCTATTTAAATGGTAATGGAAAATTCAGTTTCTGGCACAGAAGGCCAACAGGAAAATCTCAACACATCCCAAATGTCACTTACCAATTGTTGCTTATTTACAAAAAGAATCAAAATGTAAAAATTGAACATACTTACACATTAGAAACACACTTCAATTCATGCATGGGTCAAAAAGGCTCTAATATGGAAAGGGATAAATTTACTGATTTAAGAAGAAACCAAAACTTATTAATCTTATGTTTGCTTAAAGAGTACTTACAGAATTATCTCACCTCACTGTTCACACTTGAAATAAGTAGTAAATGTTCACAATTCAGAGATGCACATTAAGAATGAGGCACTGATAAAGATAATATATTTATAATTTTTAAAATTTTTTTTATACATTGATTTAGGCATTTATTTGTTATTTTTTTTCTTTGTTTTAGACTATTTTTGTATAGCTTATAG